GGAGTGTGTCCTCTGGCCTTTCAGAAGCAGAGGGGCAGGTGAGGAGAGAAGCTTTGGGTTTGGGGGAATGGCAGGGACAAGGTCTGCTGTGGGCCCTTTTCAAAGAGAGGGTGCCTGTGTGCACCCATGTGCACGAGTGTGTGTGTGTGTGTGTGTGTGTGGTCCGTGACAGGAGAGACCCCTGCCCCTGTCAGGCCTGGGGCAGCAGTGAGACTGGGGAGCAAGGTGGGGCCGACCAATGCGGGGGGACATGCTTGCTCAGAGACCCTGACATTGTCCCAGCGTTCCCTGTGGGAACTCAGTTTTGTTAAAAAATGAGTAACAGTTTATTAAAATAAATATAAAATTAATAGGACGAATAACAGTAAAGCGTCGGTGAGTGAGTACGTGGTGAACCGTCCCACCCCAGAGCACTCCCGGGTGTCCTCCCCGGTCCTGCCTGCCCTCAGCCTTCCGGGTAATCCTTGCCTGGCTCCTGCCGCTCAGCCTGCTTTGCCCGTGGGCTCCATCCGTCAGGAATCCTGCAGGGAGCGGCCGTCCGTCCGTCCGTCCATCTGGTTTCCTGGGTCCCCTGCAGCTTCTAAGATCCCTTGGAGGCACCGCCCACGCTCCTCCGTGTCCTGCAGGGAAGAGCCCTTTCTGTCCGCCACGTGCTGGCCACAAGGGGGCAGCAGAGCCTGACGGACCCTGGTGCGACCTGGCGGTGCTGGTCCACTGTTCCCCGGTCTACCGCCCGCTCCTCCCCCAGCACCCTTTTATGGGCGCCTCCCAGGCAGGGTGTTCCTGCTCCCCCCTCGGAGCCCTGCTGCTTTGGAGAAGATTGTGGAGCAGAGGTTCGGAGCGAGCCGGCTCCACACTCTTGTGATCTCACTCTCCTTCCAGGGGCGCTGGTGTTGGAGGAGGTATTTAGGTGGATCAAGGGCAGAATGAACGGGCCAGAGACCAGGCTGGAATAACCCGGGAAACGGGGCGGGATGATGAGCGATCCAGGTCCGACAAAGGCAGGAAGGAGGCTGAGCGGTCTAACGACCCCACCAAAGGGGCAAATCTTACAGAACACCTGCAAACAAAACCCAAGAAGCCCATCAGCCAGGAAACACATGTATAGTAAGACCAAGACCAAGGAGGGAGGGGCAAGAATAAGATAAGAAGCCAGGGGCTACCCCCCTGGGGCCCTGGGCCCTCGCTCAAGCTGCCCCTCTGACTTTGGCTTTTAAGTGAATTCTGCCTCTTGCTGCAATTCCCTGTCTCCCCTCTCGGGTGGAATTCCTTCCTCTGTGGCCAGAAAGTGGCCCTGCTGACCCCCAGCACCGCTGACACTTTGAACATCAGTTAACAATTATGTGCAAACATTACACAGATTATAAACACATACACCAATAACACATCAAAAGAGACAAGAGCAAGCTTTTATAATAGAAACTCTAACTTCAAAAAAAATATTTTTATTGGTTTTAGGGAGGGAGGGAGAGGGAGATAGAAACATCAGTGATTGGCTGCCTCCTGCACGCGCCACCCCCTGGCCCCCCCCCCCCCCCCCAACCCGGATGAAGCCTGCAACCCCAGCCTGTTTTGACCTCCTGGTTCATTCAGGTCGATGCTCAACCACTGAGCAACCCCTATAGGCTTAAAGTTTTTTTTTTTTTTTTGCCTCCCCTCCTGCCTTAGACTCCTGGAGCGCTGCTGGGGTTGGGGCCCCCAATCTGGTGGCCTCCCTGAGCGCTCTGCTGAGCTCTGGGGAGACCTGGCTCCTGTCAGAGTTTGGCCACACAACCACGTGCCTCCAGCAGGTCCCTCAAGGTGTTCAGCCTCTGTCTTCCGGCTGTAAAAGGGGGACAGCAAGACTCCCCTCAGAGGATCTAGTGAACCACTCATGGCAATGTTCAGAGCAAAGCAGCACTGGGGCAGGGCGGGCCTGAGGACTGGGAGACACCATGAGGGCAGCCGGGCTCTGGGCTTCAGCCACAGCTCACCCCAGAGGGCCGGCATCGGGGTGTGAATCAGCCTCTCAGGGTTTGCCTTGGCCTCTGGCCTCTGGTGCCCCAGGCCCCTCTCCCCTGAGCCTGTAGGTGCAGAGGTCAAGGGGCCAGGCCTCTAGGCCCTTTCCTATGACTTGGAACTCAAACCCCGCCCTCCAGGGTTTGCCTGTTCACCCTTGACCATGGATGTGTCTCACCTACCTGGGATCGAGGGTGAGAAAATCCTTCCCAGGTCACTGACTGGGCCATCCCATGGGCAGTACATGCTCACTCTCTGCAAATCATTCACCAACATCCCGGTGACTGACAGACACTTGGCCATTCTGGGCACCCATTCCCAGATATGTCAGGGCTGAATGCTGGGAGGACTTTCCCTCCCTCCCTCCCTCCCTCCCTCTCTTCCTCCCTCCCTCCCTCCTTCCCTCCATGTTCTGCTTAGCCAGGAAGGACAGGGAGCAGGGAGCATGGCCGCCCTGCTTTCAGACCCATGGCTGCCAGGGATGCGATTGCGGCGGCAGGACAGCGGTCAGGAACGTGGCGCCAGGCCAGCAACTCCGGAGCCCGCGTCCCTTCGCACCCCGAGTGCGTCTGCACCACGAAGGACAAGCTTTTAAAGTTGAAACAGGAGCCACCACCTTCTTGTGTGCATGTGTGTGTGTTTGTGATTCTTTTTGTTTTTAATTTTTCCAAAGAGTCAGCAGTCAATTTTGAAGTTTTTCCTGCAGAAGCTAATCCGGTGAACAGTGTCCAGCTAATCCCTCCTAACAGTGTCCAGATAAATTAAGCCCTACCGATGGCACGTTTTTAAAAAGGGGGTTTAATCGTCCCACTCACTGTCACATTTTAAAAATCACAATTTGGTTGGGGTTCCCCTTTAATGGCTTAGGTATTTATCCGAACGGTTGTGAAAGTACCGAAGCAACTAGGAGATAAGAGGTAACAACGGGCTGTTAGCGCGCAAGTCAAATGCTGACCTCAGCAGCCTTAGGGCAATTTATACTTGATCCAGAAAAGTCCTTCCTGGCTAGTGAACAGCGTCCTCCTCCTCCGCTGTGGAGGCAGCTGGACCCTGCCCCTGAGCAGCCGGGAGGGGCGGTGCAGCCGCTGCTCTGTCCTTCCAGGCTCTCCTGGGATGTCTGCCCCGCCTCCCCCCAATCAAAGGGCCAGGATTCAGGGAGAGATAAGCTTCCAGGCTTACCATGGGGCAATTCTGAGTCCAAGGTCCCTTTCTGCCCCTCCTCATCCTGTCTTCGTTCAGCTGGGGGCTGGCTTAAGGGTTGGGTGGGGTGAGGAGGGGTCTCCTTGCAGCTCTGGGCCCCCCTCTTTAAGGTTCCTGGTTCCTGGTTACCTGATCTCTGTTTGCACATGTGAGAACCAAGAGGCAGATAGAATTTTTGTGGCCCAGTCCCCTGCAGTTAGTAGGTGTTCAATAAAACACTTTTTCCTCTGTCTTTTCATAGAATTTCCCTGCTGCCTCTCAGGCCTGGAAAAGTCTCTCTGTTGGGCAGGGATGGGTGGTGGCCGTGGGGGTTGGGGTGGGGGTGAACCCTAAGCAACACTGGTTCTTGTCTTGTCAGTGCTTTCTGGCTCCACGTGGATGTTACAAGTATCGCGAGTGTGAGGGGCCTGGGAGAAACCGAGCTTTGGGAAAGGCAGCGTGGTGTGCTCAGGGGTGGCCTGGGTTCCGGGGCCGAGGGTTTAATGTCTCAGAGGCTCCGGGCAGAAAGCAAGGGCCGGTGCACCGGGTCAGGGAGCCCTGGCTGCCGGGCCATTCGGAGCTGCGGAGAGGGACCCGTGTGGCTGTCACCCTCAGAGGCTTGGCTTCCTCTCTGAGGATGAGGATGAGGATGAGGATCGGCACCCAGAACCCAGCCCCCTGGCCGCCCTGTCAGTGGCCACGGGCTCCGTGGGCTGCTCTAATCTCCCATCATGCAGCTTCCTGTACCTGGGTGCATGTCCAGAGGGCGGGGCAGAGTCGAGGCTGCACCAGGCGAGCTTTGTCTTCTAAGGTGGAAGGAGCTGGGGAAGGGCCTGGCCTCTGCAGACGCCCCTGCAGCCCCCAGCTCTGCCTCTCTGCGTCCTGGGAACCAGCTCTTCTGCCCCCAGGGAGCCCCGGCACCCACCTGGGCGCACAGCGGGGCTGGGCTCTGAGCAGCTGAGCACAGGGGCAGACGCAGGGCGCAGATTGGGGCTCTGGGGCCCCTGGACCTTCTCCAGCTTGGTGCTGAGACGCTGGCTCCAGAAGCCGGCCTTCCCCGCAGGCACGCTGGTTTGGGGGACACCGTGGTCAAAGAGGAGGAAGCAGGGAGCAGTGCGGGGAGGAGGCGGCTGAGAGCAGGTGCGGAGGGTGGGGAGGTGGCTCCGGGAGGGGGATCCTTGACCCCGAGGCAGAGCTCTTCATGGAGAGAGGGAGGAAGAGTCCCCTGTCAGTGGGTGACTGGGCCCCGCTGGGCCCCTGCAGGAAGGGGCGGTGGGTGGGAGTGAAGGTGAGTCAGCGAGCAGTCTGAGCAGGGGGGTGGCTGTGAGGGAGCCAGTCTCCTGGGGAGGGGTCCCTGGTCACGTCCTTCCTGGCAAGGGGCGGGGCTGGCCTCTGTCCAGGGTCAGTGTGGTGGGCGAACAAGGGAGAGGGAGGGGGATGGTCGCCCTGGGGCAGGTGCTGAGGGAGGAAGGCTGCTCTCTGGGCAGGCTGCTTGTGCCCTGGGTGCCGGGGTGGGAAGGGCAGGAGTGGCTTCCCCCCAGCGACCCTAAAGGTCCTCTAGCTGCACAGGTTTCCAAAGGCAGACGGGCCCAGGCGCAGTCCTCTCTGCATCTGCTGGGTGGGCCCACAGCCCATGAGCATGAGGAGTCCAGGGCGGGCTGGGCTGGGCTGGAGCTGGCCCGCCACTGGCCTGCTGTCCCCCCTGAGGCCCAGCTCCCTCTGTGGGCCCTCACCCGCCTCCGCCCGCATGTCCCCCGCGCAGAGGAATGGAGGGTCCCCCCAGCAGCTCTGAGCTCCACCATCTTACCGCCCTGCTCCTCCTCATGCCGCTGCTGCTCCCTGCGGGGTCCGCAGGTGAGTGTGGCCTGACCCTCTTCCTGTGTCTCTCCCAGGAGGGCGGTACCCCGGGTGGGTGGGGCCCAGGTCCCCTGTGGGTGCTCCCCATCAGGAACAGGGGCGGTTGGGGGAGGCCCTTCTCTAAGAGGCAATCTTCAAGAACAGTCCCCGATCCAGGAAATTAGGATTCGGCCTGGACGACGGGCCACTGAGGAGTATGCGAGGTTTAAAGTCAGTTTCAGAGTGTGGGTGCCTGTCCTCTCTGCCGCGCTGCCAGCTGTACTGGGACCCTAAGCACCTCTCATCCGGGACCATTTCATTCCATGAGTAGCTGCAAGGTGCCGCCGTGCGTCAGCTGTTCTGTGAGCAGCACAGAGGGGCTGTCTTCACAGCGCGGCATTCCCGCAGGAGGCAGTGAATGTGCCATGCACCTGCCCAGTCCCAGCGGAGGCAGAGAGAGGTGGGGTGCGGTGGAGCAGGCGGGAGTGGCTGCGGGGAGGTGGGCAGTGTGGGCCTGGAGGTGGCCCGGGCTTGGAGGAGGAGGGCTGCGAGCCCCTGAGGGACCCTACAGACAGGACCAGCTGGTGCGGAGCTGGCACATGCGGGGGCTCAAGGCACAGAGGACACAGTGTGTCTGGAGTGGAGTGGGCTTGAGGGGCGGGAGCCGGGGTATGGCCGGGAGTCTCTCTTTTCCGAGTCCAGCACGGAAAGAGAAATGAACCAGTTCTTTGAGTAGAGGCGCTGGGGACTGAGAAATGAAATAAAGAGACAAGACACAGAAATAGAAAGAGAAGCTGGGACCGGGTGGGCTTCTGCCCTCTGATGGAGGGACAGACAGGGCGGCCAGCACTGGAACCATGTGTTTAATTTATACCCAAATTCCAGGAAGTTACATCACATCTGGGTGGGCCTTGAGTTCCTGGAGACACAATGGGATGCACCCCCTAGCACCTGGCCTGGAAAGGTCAGACTGAGTGGCTCCTTGCCTGTTGGCTAGGACCGCCCTCAGGGCGTGGCTCTGCCTGAGTCTGGGGTTCAGTTGACAATATTTTTTTTTCCTTTTTAAATATATTTTTTATTGATTAAGATATTACATATGTGTCCTTATTTCCAGATTGCCCCCTCCCTCCTCCCCCCTCCCGCTCATACCCTCACCCCCCCATTGTCCGTGTCCATTGGTTAGGCCTATATGCTTGCATATAAGTCCTTTGGTTGATCTTTCCCCCTTACCCCCACCCTCACCTACCTTCCCTCCAAGGCCCGACAGTCCAATCAATGCCTCTCCATCTCTGGATCAGTCCTTGTTCATCAGTTTATGTTGTTCATTATATTCCACAAATGAGTGAGATCATGTGGTGTTTATCCGCTCTCCAGTTCCATCCATGCTGTGGCAAATGGTAAGAGTTCCTTTTTCTTCTTCCTCTTCTTAAAGAATACCTTTCAGCATTTCATATAATGCTGGCTTGGTGATGATGAACTCCTTTAGCTTTTTCTTATCTGTGAAGCTCTTTATCTGACCTTCAATTCTGAATGATAGCTTTGCTGGATAAAGTAATCTTGGTTGTAGGTTCTTGCTATTCATCACTTTGAATATTTCTTGCCACTCTCTTCTGGCCTGCATGGTTTCTGTTGAGAAATCAGCCGACAGTCGAATGGGTACTCCCTTGTAGGTAACTGACTGTCTTTCTCTTGCTGCTTTTAAGATTCTCTCTTTGTCTTTTGCTCTTGGCATTTTAATTATGATGTGTCTTGGTGTGGTCCTCTTTGGATTCCTTTTGTTTGGGGTTCTCTGTGCTTCCTGGAGTTGTAAGTCTATTTCTTTCACCAGGTAGGGGAAGTTTTCTGTCATTATTTCTTCAAATACATTTTCAATATCTTGCCCTCTCTCTTCTTCTGGTACCCCTATAATTCTGATTTTTGGTATGCTTGAAGTTGTCCCAGAGGCTCCTTACACTATCTTCATATTTTTGGAATCTTTTTTCTTTTTTCTTTTTCGGTTGGGTATTTTTTGTTTCTTTGTATTTCAAATCTTTGACTTGATTCTTGGGATCCTCTTGTCTGCTGTTGGATCTCTGTATATTATTCTTTATTTCAGTCAGTGTATGCTTAATTTCTAGTTGGTCTTTTTTCATATCCTCCAGGGTCTCACTAAATTTATTGGCAGTTTCCATAAAATTCTTGAAAAACCTTATAAACATGGTTTTGAACTCTATATCCAGTCATTTGCTTTCCTCCATTTCTGTCATTTGTGACCTGTTTCTTTATCTCCGCATTTTTTATGCTTCCCTGTGTTGGTAGAGTGGTTTTGTGTGCTAAGTGTCCTGTAGGACCCAGTGGCTCAGCCTCCCCAGTTACCTGAGGTGGACACTCTTGGTGAACCCCCTTGTGGGCTTTGTGCACAGTCTTGTTGTAGTTATGCCTTGATTGTTGTAGGATCACTGGGAGGAATTGGCCTCCAGGCCAATTGGCTGTGAGAATCAGCTGTGTCTGCAGTGGGAGAACTTCTGTGTTGAAGACACCCTTCTGGGGCAAGACTTGCTTCAATGGGGCTTTGGTGCTCACTGATTTTGCGCCCTGAGTGTGTCCCTTATGGATCTGAGGAGTTGTAATCTGTATGGTCCCCCTCTGACCACTGGGTACACTGGCTCTTGGATCTAAGGAGGTGCTATTTTAGCTTCTGCCTGAGATTACCCAGCAGGAGCTACGAAGAGAACTGCATATTCCCCTTCCTTTTTTGGAGTTTGGAGGTACCCTGATGAAGCCCAGCTGTGAAGCAATGCAAGCTGCTGTGGGGCCTTGGGCCTTCTCTTGGAAGTTCTGGGTCTGTCTGGCCCAGCTGCAATTTGTTAGGTAATTTTCAGGTTGCAAAGGGCCAGGGCATTCATATGCAAAAGCCTCTGCCCGCAGCCTGGGTGGGGCGGGGTCTCAGGGAATCAAAGGGCAGAGCAAGCAGCTATGGTGGATCCTCAGCCCTGCCCTAAGGGGCTGTGCCTCTCAGTGTCCCAATAATTGCTGCAAGCACCTCTGAGGGAAAGCCGCCCTCAAGTTCCGAGTTCTGCCCGCTGCCAGACAGTCCAGTTTCTCCCCGTATGAGTCCTGGGTCCCCAGAGACTTCCTGGAACCGGAGTTCAGAGCAGTCGGGAGCTTGTGACTCCCTCCCGATTTAAAAAGACAGCCGCGTCCTCAGGTACCAGCCCCTTTCCGCGCGCGCAAGCCCCCTACCTCTGCACTTTACTTCCGCAGCTCCTCGGGCTCTCAGTGTGCTTTTCTCTTTTCTTCTAGTTGTAGAATTTCCACTCAGCCAGCCTTCCTGTGGTTCTGGGTGATGTCCGTTTTGTCTTTTCGTTGTATTTTTGAAGTTGTTGTGGGAGGCAGCAATTTCCCGGTGTTTACCTATGCCGCCATTTTAGTTTCCTCCAGGTGACAACAGTTTTAAGAATGTCCGATGTGCTTGCCAGTGTCCCTGCACATGGGGGGACGGGGAGGGTGTTGGGCTCAGAGCGGTGCTGGTGGTTGTCCCTATGGAGCTACAGCCACTGGGGAAAGTGGGAGGGTTGCAGGGCTCAGAGCGGAGCAGGGTGACAGCAGGTGACAGGGTCACAGGCGGGAGGGTGGGGAGAGGACAGATGAGCCTTGGCTGAAGCCACGCAGCCCAGGTGAGGAGGCCCCTAGACGTGCCGCGGGCGGTACTGCTGCAGAGTACGTCATGCCTGTCCACAGGCTGGGGCAGCTCTGCGGGGCGGCCTTCTCCACTCCTCCAGGCAGTGCTCGGCCCGTGAGCGGGGCTGAGTCCCACATAAGCCGCCAGCGGAGAAAGGCGGGACACGGGTGTGCGGTGGGAGGGGGTCCCTGGGCGAGGCTGAGCAATCAAGAGTTGGGACCTGGTCAGTTTCCAGTCCTGTCCTTGGAGGGGCCTGGTGGGTGCTGTGTTCTGGGGGGTCCGGAGCCTCAGTGTCAGCTGCAGGGACTCGCCAGCCATGCCCGTTCTCGAGCCACCCACCGAGTCAGAGCTGTTTACAAGCCCTGCTGGTGACTCCACCTTGAGTGACAGAAGGTGGAGGACAGGAGCCCAGGTGGAGAAGAGGGTCGTTTGGACATCCTGCCCACAACTGTGACCAGAAGATCGTGCCCGGATTCGAGTGGCTACACCTGCGCCCCTGCCTGGGCATTCCCGACTGAGGGTTGTGCATCTCCGTCTTCCTCCCTCTTCCTGTGTCCACAGAAGAGTTCATGGTCCTGGGCCCCACGGAGCCCCTGGTGGCCGTGCTGGGCGGGGACGTGGAGCTGCCCTGCCGCACTGCCCCGGCCAGGAGCGCGGAGAACATGCAGCTGCGCTGGTTCCGCTCCAAGTTCTCCGAGGCCGTGCTCATCTACGAGGACGGCAGGGAGCAGCCCGAGGAGCTGATGGCCCAGTACGCAGGGCGGACCTCGCTGGTGACGGAGCTCCTGGGCCAGGGGCAGGCTGCTGTGCTCATCCGCGACGTCCAGGCCTCCGATGACGGGTCGTACTCCTGCTTCTTCAGAGAGGGAGAATTCTATGAAGAGGCCAGCTTGGAGCTCAAGGTGGCAGGTGGGCGACTTGCTCTGCACTCTCCCGGGGCACTGGGGTGGAGGTGGGGCCTCCAGGGCCGTGCAGTACAGCCCCTTGCTTTATGGAGAGGAAAGGGCGGCTCATTCACTCCTTCATTTATTCACTGAAAATACAGAGAACCCCCACTCTGCGCCAGGCCTGTTCTGGGCGCCTGGGATACACCCGTGAAGCACAGAGCTAGGGAGCCACACGGTGCGTGGGTTACGCAGGCAGGCGGTGGGCAGTGCTGAGGATACAAGGCCGAGTAGACAGGGAAGGAGGCCAGGCTGCGGGGGGGGGGGCGGGGGGGGGGGCGGCTTCATGGTCACACAGGGCTCACCTGGGCTCTTCCTGACACTCTGAGCACAAGTTCCGAGGAGGGAGGGATGTAGCGAGTGGCTAGGGGGCCAGGAGGGTGCCCAGCAGAGGGAGCCCCGTGAAGCCAGAGCTGGGGTGTGGCTGGTGCTCCCGGCACCTGAGGAGGCCACCGTGGCTTGTCCATGAGAGGAGTGAAGGGGAGGGCGGTAAGAGCTGACAGTCCTGGAAAAGGATGCTCCTGGTGCAGGGTGGGCAGATGGACAAGCCAGAACATTCACAGGGAGTGTGCGCCCAGCAGGTGCCTGAGGTCACCAGCTCAGGTCACAGTTCCGCTGAGCACTTGACACTGACAGCCTGGGATCGGATGAGGCGGGTGATTGTGTTTTGAGCAGCTACCAAACAGTCCTGTGACCCGAGTTGTGGCCCCTCGGGGCCCAGGTGGGGGGAGGTGGTCAGTGGGGAGAGCAGGTGGAGGAGGCAGGTGGGGGGAGGCGGTCAGTGGGGAGAGCAGGTGGAGGAGGCAGGTGAGGGGAGGCGGTCAGTGGGGAGAGCAGGTGGAGGAGGCAGGTGGGGGGAGGCGGTCAGTGGGGAGAGCAGGTGGGGGAGGCGGTCAGTGGGGAGGCAGGTGGGGGAGAGCAGGTGGGGGGAGGCGGTCAGTGGGGAGAGCAGGTGGGGGAGAGCAGGTGGGGGGAGGCGGTCAGTGGGGAGGCAGGTGGGGGAGAGCAGGTGGGGGGAGGCAGGTGGGGGAGGCGGTCAGTGGGGAGAGCAGGTGGAGGAGGCAGGTGAGGGGAGGCGGTCAGTGGGGAGAGCAGGTGGAGGAGGCAGGTGGGGGGAGGCGGTCAGTGGGGAGAGCAGGTGGGGGAGGCGGTCAGTGGGGAGGCAGGTGGGGGAGGCGGTCAGTAGGGAGGCAGGTGGAGGTGGCCGGTGGGGGGAGGCGGTCAGTGGGGGGGCAGGTGGAGGAGGCAGGTGGGGGGAGGCAGTCAGTGGGGAGAGCAGGTGGAGGAGGCAGGTGGGGGGAGGCGGTCAGTGGGGAGGCAGGTGGAGGAGGCAGGTGGGGGGAGGGAGGCTGTGCTGGGGGAGCTGGACGCCCTGCTGAGGAAAGAGCACGAGGCAGTGCAGGACGGTCCCTGTGGCAGCTGAGAGGACGGATGGAGGGAGCATGGCTGGGGCTCAGACGGACCTGGTTATGAGGGGGGAGGCGACCCGAGTGGCACTGGGCGGGCAGAAGGGATCACACATCGTGAGGCTTCCAGAGTAGACCCACTGGGTGAGTAGGTTTGGGGACACAGACCGTTTGCAGGGAGAGGGGACTGCGGGGCTGTGGCTGGTGAGAAAGAAAAGCCTTTTCTGACTGAATAAGCATCCCAGCCAGTGCGACCCACTCACAGCACCCAGCCTGCCACCAGCCAGCATGACCCACTCACGGCACCCAGCCTGCCACCAGCCAGTGCGACCCACTCAGGGCCCCCAGCCTGCCACCAGCCAGTGTGACCCACTCACGGCACCCAGCCTGCCACCAGCCAGTGCGACCCACTCAGGGCCCCCAGCCTGCCACCAGCCAGTGCGACCCACTCAAGGCACCCAGCCTGCCACCAGCCAGTGGGACCCAATCAAGGTACCCAGCCTGCCACCAGCCAGTGCGACCCACTCACAGGCACCCAGCCTGCCACCAGCCAGTGCGACCCACTCAGGGCCCCAGCCTGCCACCAGCCAGCATGACCCACTCACGGCACCCAGCCTGCCACCAGCCAAACACCTGCAGCGCCCTTCGTGCAGAGGCCACTAAGCCTCTGGAAGGAGAACGGAAGGGCAGGAGTCGCAGAGAGTGTACCTGAACTCACCTGCTAACTGGGTGGCCATCTATGAGCTCACTGGAGGAAAAGCTCAGCCTTTGTGAAGGGAGGTGGTTTACAGCTCAGAGCGCGCCCACTGCAGCCCGCCTGCTGCCGCGGGTGGGGGGAAGGCCCGGGGGAGGGAAGGCCAGTGGTTAACATGTCAGAGGGGCCTCCATCTCCTCCCTGCGCAGGTGTGGGCTCTGCCCCCCGAGTGCGCATCACGGGGCCGGAGGAGGACGGCGTCCGCGTGGAGTGCGCGGCCTCGGGGTGGTTCCCGAAGCCCCAGGTGCACTGGCGAGGCGGCGGCGGAGCGCAGTTCCCGGCGTTCTCCGAGGCCCACGCCCAGGACGCCCGCGGGCTGTTCAGCGTGGAGGCCGCGCTGGTGGTGAGAGACCGCTCTGTGGGCAACGTGACCTGCTCCTTGCACAACCCCATCCTGGGCCAGGAGAAGGCTGTGGCCATTTTCATCCCAGGTCAGAGCTGCTCCGACTCCCCAGCTGGAGGGAGGGGGGGCCTGGGCGCGCTGGGGGGCTGTCCCGGGGGCCTTGGGGGGCTGTCCTGGGCGCGCTGGGGGGCTGTCCTGGGCTGTCCCGGGGGCGCTGGGGGGCGGTCCTGGGCTGGGCCCTGATGGGGCACCTGCCGGGTGCAGAGCCCTTCTTCCCCCAGGCCCCTCTCTGGAAGGTGACTTTCTGGGTGAGCCTGGCCGCGCTGGGGCTCCTGCTCCTGGGGGCTGGCTACTGCGCCCACAGAGAACATTCCAGGAGACTGCGGGCGCTCAGGGACCGGGAGACCCTGCTCCGGGCTAAGGAGGAAGACCTGCGGGCAAAGGAGGCGGCGCTGAGGGCCACAGGTGAGGCAGGACAGGCCCAGGCGGTGGGTGTGGCAGCCGTGCTGAGAGGGGCAGGCCCAGGGCGGCGCCAGCCCTCGGGGAGACCAGGGAGACCCAGAGAGGGCTCTGCAGGCTCGGGGTCTGCAGTGGGACCTCAGGCTAGAGCGGCTCTCCCGCCCCCTGTCCCTCCTCTCAGGGATGGCAGCTCATGCTGTTCTCACTCTGTTTCAGGGGAACTGCAGGACCAGCTCGGTAGGTTCTCCGCGCGCCCCCCCCCCCCCCCCCCCCCCCGCCCCCAGCCCCGTGGGAGACACTCGGGCTGGCTCACCTGTCCTGTGTTTTCTCTCAGGATGGAGGAGGAGCGTGTACCTGGCTGGTGAGTGACTCCACCGACCTCCGCTGCCCCAGGGTCCCTCTCCCGGCTTCTGTCTGGGCACACACGTGTGGACCCCTTCCGTGGGGCAGACGTGGGAGCTGGTGGGAGGCAGCCCCCTGCTCCCTGGGCTCCCCTGACAGACCCGGCTGCTGCTGTTCTCCACCCAGTGCTGGGGAACCGGGCGTGATGGCGGCTGGGGTCTGCCAGGCACCGGGCCTCATTCCAGCCCTGACCACCCTGTACAGCCTTCAATGCGGAGCTCACTCAGCACCTGGAAAGGGCCATGTAAATAAGTGGGGTCATTAAGGTAGGATTGTGAGCTCCTGCCTTCCCCCGAAACACCACCCAGAGAGTCTGTTTATCCACTTCCTGCGGGTGCTGATCAAACGCGATTGGGGGAGCCCTGGCCGGTGGGTTCAGGGGTTAGAACATTGGCTCTCCCACCAAAGGATCGCAGGTTCAATTCCCGATCAAGTGCGCCTACCTGGGTTGTCGGGTTGATCCCTGGCCCTGATTTGGGCGCATCTGGAGGCAACCAATGTCTCTCCTTCTCCCCCCCACACCCCTGCTCCCCGCTTCCCTCCCTCCCTCCCTCCCTCCCTCCCTCCCTCCCTCCCTCCCTCCCTCCCTCCCTCCCTCCCTCCTTCCCACTTTCTCTAAAAATCAATGGGAAAAAATGTCCTACAGTGAGGATTAACAGAAAAAGTCACTGACCACTCAGGGGACGGTGCCGGGTGGGTGTCCGCCCGGAAAGGGGCCGTGCTGGTTACCTGTAGAAACTATCTATGTGAGGAAGGTTGGCCACTTTAGCCCAGATCTCACCTCACATCCCCGTCCTTAAGTTAATTCCCATTTTGAGTTATTTTCCAAATATACCTTTGTCAGAAAAAGATTGGATAGGAAAGTGCTTTCTTACAATTACAGAATAATTTATATTTTATTTCCTAAAATGTTTCCACACATAGTGTACCTTTTCACCTGAATAGCAACGGTGAGTAGTAGCAAGTGAAACGGGAGTTTCTGAGGTTGTTTTGGCTCAGAGCAGCTAGGTGACTGGCCAGAGGCCGCACAGCCGCAGCCCACCTGCCACGGGGTTTCCCTCAACCCCTGCCGGGCACTCTCCCTGTAGGCCATCTCCCCTGGGGAGCCGGGCAGCCAGAGGTTCCCGCTGTGCAGGGTGTTGTGGCCGAGGTCTCACCAGGTGTGTTCCCTTTCAGCCTGGAGGAAGGCCCAGCTGTATGCAGGTAAGTGACTCCGTTTCCTGTGGCTTCACCTCCCCAGCCTCGACCCTGTCCCCTTCTCTGTCAGTGGACCGCACCCCAGGGTGGGTGGGCGCTCCTGCTCTCCTGTCACTTTTGTGGCCGCCATCTGAAGGGCGCCAGGACTCCTCCCTGGGAACACACACCTGCCTCTGTCTGGCCCACCCTCCACCGCAGGTCCCCCCAGGGCTAGCGGCACTGCTGAGCTCACCTTGTTGTCCTGAGGGCAGAGGGGTGGTGAGGAGAGATGCAGGCGGGGAACACCGTGCCCATTCGCCCGTCTCTGCCTAGGTTTCAGAAACCCTGCCTGCCTGGGTAGGACTGAGGTCTTCCTAAGGGTCCTTGGTTTTGGATCCTTCTTGCCCTGAAATCCCTCCCCTTTTTGGATCTAGCTTTGTTTTCTGTTTCTTCCTGGTCCTCTGAGAGATTGGTGTCGGCTTCCTGATGCTCTGAGCTCCATCTGTGCTGGTTCCTCCCTCTCAGCCTCCTTGGCTGTGAGGAGGTGGTTGCTTTAAAGCAGGTGTTCTCAGTCTGGGGTCCAGACCCTGCAGGTTTCTGGTACAGTTTTGCTTTCACTACCCATGAGAAGGGGAAGAAAATTTGTTAGTGTCTGTCCTCTTACTGAGTGCATGTCTTTCCTGCTTTGAACCCCTCTCCCTTCCTTAGAACCCCCTCCATTGCCTCTGAGTGGGCAAGATTTCTCTGATCTGCAGCCCCAGTTCTCTTCACTCAGGGCTGGAGTCATCCTCCGAGTTCAGCCCAGCCAGTGGTATTCACTGTTCTTGCGGCTGAGGGGCACCCTGAGTTCAGCTCAATCCGTTTTTCACTTGTAAATGGACATTTGGATCTCCCAGTTCTTTAGGGGGAAACCTGGCTTTCAGGGTGGCTGTGTGGCTTGGGACTTGAGAAAGCAACTTAGATACTGAGTCTGGGCCTTTCGGCGCAGGTCGGTCTCCAGATTGAGTCCTGAGCGTTAAGCTTTCACGGGAAGGTGGTAGCATGGTGGCTCCACGTGCATGTGTGTGCATGCATTTATGTGTGCGCGTGTGTATGTGTGCATCTGTGTGTGTGTGTGTGTGTATGTGTGTGTTTGCATGTATAAAAGGAAATAAATGCATCAGCTGAATGTTCCAGAAACAATTTCCCCCGTATGCCCGCCTCAGTATGCTTCCGGTCTCTGAGGTCCCTGACATGTGCCGTGCTCTCTTGCAGATTGGCGGCAGGAGAAGTTCCCGGCCTGTGAGTGAGTGTGTTTTTTCTGGGTGCGCCTCCTGCTGCCCCACGACTTCTGGCCTCTCCTTCAGTTCTGTGGTGGGCAGATAGTGGCCCCAGCAGCGGCGGCGAGCTGGGTGGCGAAGGTGATAGCACAGAGCTGGGGCTGGGGCGTGGCTGGTACTGGGTGCTGAATAGATATCCCTAACCCGTGGAGTCCAGGCTGGGCCTCAAGGGCCTGAGACATAACCAACCCCGAATAGGTCCTGTGATTCCTTCTCCTGCTTGGAGGGCCATGGGCTGCGTCATAAGGCGCTCGGCTCAGGAGGCTGCCCCCCCCTGCAGCTAAGTGTGTGGGGATGGGGAGGTGTGCCCTTGTTGGGGTGGGGAGGCCTTGCATGAGTGGCCCTCTCTCTGCAGGGCCTGTCACTCTGGACCCAGGCTCTGCGGATCCCAGCCTTGTTGTCTCTCAGGAGAGGAGGAGAGTGACCTTGAAGGAGACCTGTGAGGATTCTGGAGGCAGCGGCAGCGTGTTGGGCCTGGAGGGCATCACAGCAGGGCGCTGTCACTGGGAGGTGGAGGTCCCCGATGGGGACCGAAGTGAGTGGGTTCTGGGGGTCTGCCGGGAAGATGTGAAAAGGACCGGCTGGTACGTAGAGTCCCCAGAAAAGGGGTTCTGGGTTGTGGGGCAGTTTGAAGATGGATTTTGTCCCTGCCCTAAGGATGGCACTCCTTTACCCCTGAGGCAGCTTCCGCGCAGGGTAGGGGTGTTCCTGGACTACAGCGAAGGGGACGTCTCCTTCTACGACATGACGGAAGGCTCCCACATCTTCTCCTTCCCTCGGGCTTCCTTCTCCGGGACCCTCTTTCCATACTTCAGGTTGAAGTCAGGAGTTGGGTCCTTGACCATCTGCCCCATGGCGGGTGTGTCCGAGGGGCTCCCTGTGCCCCATAACAATTCTCCTTGCGAGGAGCCTCTGAGCCCCCCAGGCTCTAGTGCTGATGGGGCTGAATCTCCATTACTCCCCGGCAACGAGGCGGCTGCGCCCCGCCACTGTCCCTGACCCCTCACTAAGGCGCTTTCTGGAGCTGCAGCCTCCCCTGGCAAAGCCTCCCAGGGAGACCTGAGTGCAGAACCCCACCCCCTGTGGCAGAGCCCCGCCCCCTGTGAGCAGAGCCCACCCCCTGTGAGCAGAGCCCACCCCCTGTGAGCAGAGCCCCACCCCCTGCATGCAGAGCCCCACCCCTGTGAGCAGAGCCCACCCCCTGTGGTAGAGCCCCGCCCCCTGTGAGCAGAGCCCCACCCCCTGCATGCAGAGCCCCACCCCCTGTGAGCAGAGCCGCACCCCCTGCGTTCAGAGCCCCCCCCCTGCGTGCAGAGCCCCACCCCTTGTGAGCAGAGCCCCACCCCTTGTGTGCAGAGCCCCACCCCCTGTGAGCAGAGCCCCACCCCTTGCGTGCAGAGCCCCACCCCCTGTGAGCAGAGCCCCACCCCTTGCATGCAGAGCCCCACCCTCTGTGAGCAGAGCCCCACCCCCTGTGAGCAGAGCCCCACCCCCTGCGTGCAGGCTCCCAGGTGTGAGGCTGTGAACAGTCAGTTCCTGCCCAGCTCAGGCAGCAGGTTAAAGTTGACTGGGCTGGGAGAGGCTATTTTGATACGGGAGGTTGTTTTTCGTTGGTAATGAAAAATATTCCATGGGCTCGTTGTTCTGCTTGAATATGCCGGGGGCGGGGCTGAACTGCTCTGCAGCATTGAGGGGAGTTTCTTTTATCCAACTTGAGTTTGTGCAGGAGAACCAGGGGCTGAGGGTGGTCCCAGATCTGTTTTGTGGGTCTTCACTATCTGACCAGATAAGTTGGCCCCAAAATCTCCAGGGAAACGATGGCAGATGGACTGTTAAGGGGAGAGAGGTCTGATATTCCACTCTATGGTCCCTGCCCCGGGATGGCTGGAGCAGTTGTTTCCCAAACCGCGGCAAGTTTCTGTTCCCTGGGCAAGACCTGGGGTGTCAACTTAAGGAACCAAGGAAGAACCGGGCCCCTCTTCAGGCTCCAACCGCAGGGAAGGAAGAGCGCTCTCCCCGGGCTACCATGTGCACAGAGGAGACTTTTCAGATGCCGGGCGAGCAGCAGAAAGCTTTGGCTGGGCGTGGGACCCAGTCATCAGTGTGTCGCGTCGGTGCTTCCAAGTCCAATGGCAAGGTTACTGGAAAACCACAGCAAGGAAAAGGAAGCGGGGCCCTGGAGGACTCAGACCCGCAGGAATGCAGTTCTCTACCAGAGGAGAACTCTGACTTGCTGTGGTTCTCACGCGGTGGAAGAGCCGAATGGGAAGTGGAAGAAAGAAGTCAGATGGTCAGTTCTCACCTGCGACCAATGACCAACAAGGGGTGAAGCGACAGCCTTGCAGATGTTCTCTCTTGTGTGTGTGTTACTTGTGTACATGAACCTTTTTCCTGCTCGCTCTCCTTACCCTTTCGCTTTTTGTAAGTCGTTGGGGGTTATGTGTAGTATAGTCTGCAGGTAACAGAGCAGTCAGTGGGGGGTGGATTTCAGGAATTTGCAATATGAATATAGCAGTGATCGATACGGGGACTGTGACTGTCTCCTCATTTTGGGGGACGGGTGAGACTCTCTTCACGTGTGACGGGAGCTTTGTCTTGATGTGTGAAAAAGTAGAGCTGTATTTTTGTATGAAAGTTCAAATTTGGTAAATGGCTCACATTGAAGCTGAGTAGTCAAAGGTGTGGACTGTGTCCATTATCAACTTATTGCCTCTTGGTTCCAAACCCACCTCACATTTGCCCTGTTTTGTGACCCTCCCAACTTCTGTGCCATGCAGCCCAATGCTGTGAGCCTTTGGCAGCCCTGTGCTGCAGGGGGCGCTGTAGGGCACAGCAGGGGAAATGGGCTCTCTTCCCTGCTGGCCCTTTTCTTCTTGCCCCCACGGTGGACTGTCACTGGCCTGCAGAAGGCCCAGTGTTGCACCTTTTGGTGAACTTGCCTGGCATTGCAGCAGCCTGTTTTCCAGAGGATGCTTCCGGGGGGCTAAGCAGAACCCCCGTGGGAGGTTTCCTGCCACCAGCTCTGGCCTGTGGCTTGTCAGTGTACTCCTTCCAGGGGCCACGGTCCTCCCTTCACCAATAAGCTCTGAATGTGTCTTGTGGGGTTCCTCTTCCAAATTTCTTCCTTCCCGTGTACTCTGCCTTAACTCTAGACTTAGTGTCTGTTTCCTGTATCTGCTATTTCTGTATTCCTTAGAGCTTTCTTTTACTTGTTTCAGTAGTTAACCACTAAAACTACCTTTGGCTAGTTAGTAATTTTTTTAATATAAATTTATTTATTTATTTATCCCTCGGGGGATGTCTGACTGCTGGTTTAGGTCCAATCCCAGAGATTTAGCCTAAACTGGCAGTGGGACATCCCTTTTGCAATCTGGGACCACTGGTTCCTAACTGCTTGCCTGCCTGCCTGCCTGATCACCGTGAACCACTCTGTCTGTCTGCATCATCGCCCCTAACCACTGTGCCTGCCTGCCTGATCGCCCCTAACTACTTGCCTGCCTGCCTGATCACCCCTAACTAACGGCCTCTGCCTTGGCCCCCACCCTGGCGGCTTCATCTGGAAGGACATCCGGAATAATGTCTGGAAGGTCATTTGGCTGTCTCGTCTAATTAGCATAGTATGCTTTTATTATTATAGATTTCCCTGCTTTAGCCGGTTTGGCTCAGTGGATAGAGTATTGGCCTGCAGACTGAAAGGTACCAGGTTCGATTCTGGTCAAGGGCACATGCCTGGGTTGCGAACTTGATCCAAGTGAGGGGTGTGTAGGAGGCAGCTGATCAATGATTCTCTCATCATTGATGTTTCTCTCTCTCTCTCTCTCTCCCTCTTTTCTCTGAAAGCAATAATAATAATCTACACTAATAAAAGAGAAAGATACAAATTGACTGTACCTTTGCAACGCCCACCAGCCAATCAGGAGTGAGTATGCAAATTAACACAGCAAAGATCGCAGGTTAATTTGCATATGCAGGTGTTGAGCGGCCAGAAGCGGGGCGGGACGCTTGCTCCAGGCCCCTGGGCAGTGTGGGAAGGTCGAAAGGTGGCTCCAGGCCGGAGCAAAGGTGGTGCCGGCAGCCAGGGGAAGGAAGGCCCATTCTTGCACGAATCTTCATGCATCGGGTCTCTAGTAATAATAATAATAAATATAAAATTTCCCTGTTTAGCCCAAGTGGTGTGGCCTAGTGGTTGATGATCGTCCCATGACCAGGAGGTCATTGTTTGATTCCCAGTCAGGGCACAAGCCTGGGTTTTGGGCTTGATTTCCAGGTGGGGGTGTGCAGGAGGCACCTGACTGATTATTCTCTTTCATAATTGATGTTTTTACTTTTCCCTCTCCCTTCCTCTCTCTGAAATCAATAAAAACATATTTAAAAATTACCCTGTTCAAATCACTGATGTGGCTTCTGTCTACTGACTGGACACTGAGTGTAAACATCTAAACCACAATGTAGCTTGGAGGGGGGCAGGGGCACTGTTCCCAGTGTGTGGGAAAGGGTAGTTGAGGCATTTGCAAATGCATTGAAATGGATTGCCCCAGCAATAAGGTCATACAAATATACTCCACAGCAGTAATTCTCAACCTTAATAATGCAGTTTAATACAGTTCCTCATGTTGTGGTGACCCCCAACCATAAAATTGTTTTCGTTGCTACTTCATAACTGTAATTTTGCTACTGTTATGAATAGTGATGTAAATATCTGATATGCAGGATTTATTTTCATTGTTACAGATTGAACATAATTAAAGCATAGTGATTAATCACAAAAACAGATTCTAGGCGAATGTATCGTGTTTGACTTCTTTTTTTTTTATTGCTTAAAGTATTACAAAGAGTATTACATGTCTCCCTTTTTTTTTCTCCCCTTGACCTTCCCCTGGCCTCCCCTACCCCCCAGTGTCTTGTGTCCATTGGTTATGCTTATATGCCTGCATACAAGTCCTTTGGTTATCTCTTACTCCACCCCCAACCCTCCCCAGACTTCCCGCTGTAGTTTGACAGTCTGTTCAATGTTGCTCTGCCTCTGTGTCTAAACTATTGTTCCTCAGTTTATAATGGTCTTAATTATCCATAAATGAGTGAGATCATGTGGTATTTTTCTTTTATTGACTGGCTTATTTCACTTAGCATAATGCTCTCCAGTTCCATCCATGCTGTTGCAAATGGTAAGAATTCCTTCTTTTTTACAGCATCATAGTGTTCCATCGTGTAGATGTACCACAGTTTTCTAATCCACTCATCTGCTGATGGGCACTTAGGCTGTTTCCAAATCTTAGCTATGGTGAATTGTGCTGCTATGCACAGATGGGTGCATATATCCTTTCTGATTTATGTTTCTGTTTTCTTGGGATATATTCCTAGAAGTGGGATCACTGGGTCAAATGGAGTTCCATTTTTAACTTTTTGAGGAAGCTCCATACTGTTCTCCACAGTGGCTGCACCAGTCTGCATTCCCACCAGCAGTGCATAAGGGTTACTTTTTCTCCGCATCCTCTCCAGCACTTGTCATTTGTTGATTTGTTGATGATAGCCATTCTGACAAGTGTGAGATGGAACCTCATTGTTGTTTTTGATTTGCATCTCTCAGATGATTAGTGACTTTGAGCATGTTTTCATATGTCTCTTGGCTTTCTGAATGTCCTCTTTGAAAGGTGTCTATTTAGATCCTTTGCCCATTTTTTGATTGGATTGTTTATCTTCCTTTTGTTAAGTTGTATGAGTTCCCTATAAATTTTGGAGACTAGGCCCTTATCAGATATGACATTGGCAAATATGTTCTCCCACACAGTGGGCTTTCTTGTTGTTTTGTTGATGGTTTCTTTCTCTGTGCAGAAGCTTTTTATTTTGATGTAGTCCCATTTGTTCATTTTCTCTTTAGTTTCAAATGCCCTAGGACATTGGTCGGCAAACTGCGGCTCGCAAGCCACATGCGGCTCTTTGGCCCCTTGAGTGTGGCTCTTCCTAAGCCTTAGGAGTACCCTAAATAAGTTAATAACAAT